AAAAAAAAAAAAAAAAAAAAAAGCTGGGATAGTTGTCTGAGCTTTCCCTGCCTGTAGTACAGGTTTAGAAAAACCACAGGGAGGACCCAGGTGACACGCCGAGAGCTGGTGTGAAACTCCTGTCTGCTTAGGGAAGGGAATAACAGCACGGCAGGCTTGTGCTGTTGTTTTCCTGCCAGCAGGGTAGCCCAAGCTCTCCCATCACACAAATTCAATCTATGCACATCGCAGGAATCCAGCAGGAATTCAGGGAAAGAGAAGAAGTGAAAAAAACATTGAAGTGTAACTCCTTAGTCCCCAAATACCCCAAATACCTTTAAAAATCTCCTTTCAGTTCATCAGTTCTTAAAACTCTGTTGGGGGGAATAAACCTCAGGGAAATAAAACGGAGGACTTGAAAACAGATAGCAAACAGGTTAACTCGTTAAGAGGACAAATGAGGAAACGGGGCAAAGGAATTAGCAAGTAAGTTATCCAGAGTGGCACAGCTATGTGAAATTTCATTCAACGACTGTTTATTGAGCCAGTTACAGTGTTTAAGACCCCGGGTGTACTTAATATATAAATAACTTAAAGAATTATCCAGATACCAGAGAATAATACAGATTTTTAGAGAAATAAAGTAACTTTTGGTTATTTTAGTGCCTTAAATCTAAAAACTATGTTAGTTATCACTAATATTCCTGTCAAACACACTACAGAGCTTCCTACCATCAATATGTACGACCAAAGAAATCAGGATTGCTTAGAGTAAAGATTTCTAAAACAGGATACAGCAGAGATCTGACCCACCCTTTTCGGACTGCAGCGCCAAACCAGGAAATCACCTGTGTTCCACCAATGGGAACATCCTGTTTTTTTAACCAGACACGCCTTTGCACCATGTAATTGTGTTAATGGCTGGTAGTCAAAACACTTTTTTTTTTTTTGCTTGCATCTACCTGTGTCTGCTCTTTCAACTTTGAAAAACAGATCTCTGAGTGTATATCTTGATCTGGGAGAAATGAGCTACCCTTGAATACACCTGGATGGTTCAAGGGTGTCTATTTGTTTTAGTTTTAATGCCAGTTTAGTGAGCCAAGAAATGAACCTAGAACCCAGGATGCCAGCCAATGCTAAAATGGAATCACCGAGTGACCGCAGGACTTCCTTCTTGGCCAGAGAGATCACTATCATGGATAATATATTCATAAAGCAAAGCCCTCTCATTTAGATGGCTATGGATCAGTAGCTTCACTATGTTTTACACACTGGTGAAAGGTGCGTGTGTGTGTGTGTGTAGTTTAATAATTTTGACGATTCTTTGTGCCCATCAAGGTGAGAAAATATCAAAATTGAGATCTAAGGATTCTCTTGAAAGGATCTTAGAGGTCATATACTTTATTTGTATTTTAACTTATTTTAATATTTCTAAGGTAATATTCTCATAAAAAATATCCAAACAGTAACGTAAGTCCCTTTTGCTCCTTTTGGCCACTACCCAATTCCACTTTTTTCTCCCAAGATAAACAATGTTAACTAGTTGTTACACATCCTTTCATTCCTTTTCTGTTAGATACATAAATATATGCAACTAGAATACTATGTCTTTTAACCTTAAATACATATCGCACTGTACATGTTTGCTTATTTTTTCACTTAAAATGTTTAGAGAGCCCTTCTATCTACATTTTACTCCCACCCCTTCGTTTAGTTTAAACTTCTCACTTTGCAGAAGTGCAAACCCAAGTCTAAAATAGTCAAATGACTTTCCTAAGGCCGGATAGCGACAGAGTAAGGGACCCGAGCACAGTCAGTACTTTTAAAATCAGACGGAAAGCAATTATTAGTTACTGAACAAAGTTTGCAGAAACTGAAAGCGGGGGAAAAAAACCACTCAGAATCCAATCTCTCCAACAGGGAAACTTATTTTTTCCTCAGTTTCGTTGGTTTTTGTCTGTATGCACAACTACTTTAAAAAAAAAATTTTTTTTTTTACACAGATATACTGTAATCGAAGCACGAATTCAAACGCTGTCCACTTTGGGGTTAAGTCCATCACAAGTTGATGTTACCGCGAAGCTGACTCGCAGCGAGTGGGCCTGGACCGGCGACCGGACGCCTCGCCACGCAGCCAAGCCCGCGTCCCACTCAAGCTCAGCTGCTTCCCCCGCGCGACGCCCCTTCCTCTCATTTCTCAGGGGCTCCCACGTCTCCCGCGGC